ATGAATCTCCCTTGCATATTACAGCAGACAAAAGGGCACAGTGGCTTCAAAGTTCACCAGGCAGAAAAAAACCTGCTGTCGCACCATATTCACATAAAAATTAAAAGCATTCCTCTGGAACACACTGAGCTTGATTCTACAACCTTTATCCAGACAAAACTTGCAGAGATATCACACAGGTAAGATACAGAAAGATTGAAGGTGTGGCTGAGTAAGGCAGAGCTTTCAGCAAGTCACCTGCATACCAGGCAGGGAGAGAGACTGTATGTCTCATGCTCTTTTGGTTCTACTACTTTCAGTAAATTTTGTATATTTGGATACATGATTGCTAATACTTGTCTGTATTTCAAAAATACGCTGATGCAGTCTGCAAGGCTGTGAAACTTAATCTGCAACTGATGTACTAAACAAATCAAACAGCAAAGTCTATCAACTTATCAACTGCGTGTGACAACACATGTGGCACAAAGAGTAAGAGCTGTTAATGGCCAAGTCAATGCAAAGGTTTGGGAACAACTGCGTTAAAAAAAAAAACAATGAAAAACAATGCCATGGTACTAAAACACTATTAACCTGTAGGATTCACTGCAAAAGCAACGTTACTTTTCAGAACAGTTAAAAGTCTCCTTAATATCTGAATGTATTGGTGAGCATGGTATGAGTTATCTCCATTTTACACACAACTGAGAGAAAGGGCAATGGATTTGCCTCTGGTCAAACACAAGAAGCCTGGAATTTAGTTTCAAAACTGGAAATCAGTTCCATAAAAATTTTGCTGTTGAAACGCTTTAAAAAAAAACATACAGCCATGAGAACATGCTATTTCTACCTCTCCAATGAAATTTTATCTCATACTTTCATACCCTGTGTATCAGTAAGTCAACATGTCCTACCATGACAAGGAAACACATTTACTGTACTTATTCACAGAAACTTTACTTTTCATATTCTGCAGTCAAGGGCAGAAAATTTTACCTGAAGACTCCACACAGACATTAGAAGTCAGCGTGCTGAAAAGCATCTGCAAATACTATTAAACTCTAAAAAGAATAGCACATTTAAAATTAAGCAACGATTAAAAATATCACTTACACGCCACTTAGCACATTTATAGACTGTGTCCTCAGCCCATATCCAGTGTCCTTCAGATTGGAAATAATTCCCAACACATTAATATTGGAACCCTTTGATCCAAAGTCCTTTTCACTGTACATTATCATATGGGAGCTTGTGAAGTCCTGTTAAAACAGAAGGAAGCGTCATAAGGAAAATGCAACATGACATCTCGGTGCACTCAGGAGATGCCTACCATATGTTCTTGGAACTTACGCCAACAATCGGTCGCAGCGACTGCAACTGTTCATCATAGCCACCCCAGTCCATCCAATCCCGATACGCTCCTTCCTCCAGCAAGTACTGATGGCCTTCAAACCCAGGCTTCTCATAAGCAACCCAACTAAACAACAACAACAGCAGAGTTTGCGTGTGAAAATGGACAACTGCCACTCCATGGTGTTATGTAGCAGATACAGATGTGTGAAATTTGTTCTTTGGCTGTGAATATTTGCAAATTTAACCCAGGCATACATCTAGAGACAAAAACTAGGAAAACAGAGAAAATACACGGGTACTGAATTTGTCCACTGCAATTTCCAGCCTATGGAGCAACTACTTCAGCTGAAGGGAAAATACTGGTGGTGCTTTCCCACACTTACACTCCTCCCAGCACTTTCATGGATCCCACTGATGTAAGTGGAAGTCTTGTCTTTTCTTCTGATTTCTTGTCATCAAGCATAAAAATCTCTGATTCTACTTCCACATGTCTCCCTTCAAAAAAAGGCTTCTCATAAATGATTACCTGTAGTGGAAATGAAGAAAAATCGCAGAGAGCAAGATAAATTCCGACAAGAGTTTCTTTTGCAGAGGCACGTAGAGGGAGAAGGCAAGATTATGAAACTAATTAGTGAGATCTCTCCATTCTCTTCAAGGGGTCTTTCCCTTAGAGATGCAACATGAGGGCTTCAAGTTCATTACCCATCTGCATTATCCAGACAGCTGTTAATACTGTCATACATGTATGCAACGGATGCATAAACGCAACTGAAATTGCAGTTTCATGGTGTGGTCACATACAGTAGGACCAGCCACTCAACCATCAATAGTTGGTACATGATCAAGATGTATTTATCTACCCAGGTGTTGTGTTAGAAAATACCTCTGGACAATCAAATATTGACTTTTACCTTTGGCTCTCCACTGAATTCAACTTTGCGACCACCCTGTTAAAAAAAGAAAAAAAAAAAAAAGAAAAAAGAAAAAAAAATAATTTGTCTATACTTAGACAACTCATAGGCAACTGTAAGTCATCAACTCTTCACAAAAAGACAGAATTAAGATGAAACCTTCCTTGAAGCACACAAGTGAAAGTAAGAAGGCAGATTAAAGGCAGAATTGGATGCAATCAAATGTTGAAAGTTCAGTAATTTTATAGACTAAAGATTTTGTTTTTTAAAGGGTTACATTTTTATGAGTCTTGAAAAATCTAGCCACCTTAACACATTATTTCTATCACATAAACACAGGTCACGTAACTTGAAAGTAATAACAGTATTTTACCATTTTCAAGGGCCTCATGGACCTGATGTAGGCTTCCTTCTTCTCCCAGAACGCTAAATTAGGATATTCACCAGGCTCCAACATTAAAGGGACTCCCTGGAAACCAGGTTCTTCATAAATTAGCCATCTAAAAGCAGGAGGGGGGAGGGTGGCGGGAGGAAAGCAAAAGATAAAAAACCCAGAACATTTCTGAACAACAAAGAACAACACAGTATGCTTAAAAAAAGACATCACTGTACCCTTAATAAAAATTTGTTTCTCTACCATCAAACTTGCCAGGTACAAGCTGGCATGCTGGCCAACTTCTATGCCTGTGCAGGAACCACCAATAATGCATGTGTTTTGTTTGAACAGGTGAAAAAAAAAAAAAAAAAAAAAAAAAAAAATCAGACAGTTAAGAATTTGACTCTGTCTTATCTGAGGGCAACCCAAGGTTTAGACTGTTTCCAGACTTAAGGTTACTCTGCATTGTTTTTAGAATAGTTTTAAAATATGTAGAACCTATTTTCAAGAAGCTGAAAGATCTCTACTAACACAGACATCGATGTGTTGCAAAATCTGTTCAATGGAGAACTCTAAACTTGTGTTATTTACTAATATGTAGAAAAAACTGACAACTCCTTAGAAATCTACTTCCTCATGGTTTGTATCTGCTATTAGATCTCCTTTGAAAGACATAACTTTCAAAATTCCTGATTGGGATAGCAACAGTACTTTTTCAAAGCTTTTTCAGGACAATCTTAGCCAGTAATCACTTACTAGAAACAAAGAAACATACTGCTGATCTCTGCATAAGGATGGCAATGTATTTCTTCCATTGAAATTTACTTGGCTCTCTGAAATGCAGCATGGAGCAGTATAAAACACATACTAAGCAGGAACAATTTATGCAACCAACTCTTTAATCACGTAAGGATCGTAATGTATAAATCTGGTGATATCAGAAAGATGTTAAAATAATCCATCCCTCTCTCATGATTAAAAGACAGATTCCAAGCTGATGTGAACTGGCACAAGTGGGTATAGTTTCACTGCAGACACACGGATCCAAGATACAAACAAGGTGCTTTAGTTCTATTGCTGTCTACAGCTGAATGTTTGATACATAGTGTGTCCTGTAGCCCCACTGCTCAGTAAACCCTCAACTTCACTGCAAGAATTTAAACACATGGAGGACCAAGGAGAGAGTACAATCAGAAGATAAAGGTGTATTGACTCATTTTTGTTGGCAGTTTTCAGTAAACAGCAATTAAGCACCAACACTTAGAAACCTTAAGAAGATACAACCACACCCACACGGCAAGGTGACTCAGAATCAGAGCCTCCTTCAACTGCCAATCCAGGGAACTACGTCATGCCTGGAAACTCGAGGGAAGAAAAAACCCTGCAACATGCAAAAAAGCAGCAACATTTTACTGAGTATCTCATGCAAGCAACTGACAGAAGCGACTTCTTTCTACACCAGACTAATGAACTGACGTACCAGAAAGATTATTTTTCAACTATCTATTTAGCTTCCTGGTTCAAATATCAGTCTGCCTTCCCTCAAGTGATCCAAATGCAACAGACAGAAATTAAGACTGTAAGAATTTACACAGATATAGTGCAAAAAACGCTGTCACACTGATGCAAAATAAGGACTGGTCTGAAGTCTGAGATGTGCACGCAGGCTAAACTTCCTTTCCAAAAATTTTGTAATTTCACTATTCACAGAATGCTTTTAAGTGAGGGACAGAAGTGGAAAGCTTGATGAACTCAATTAATAATCAACCTCCAAATAACATATCCGATTTCATTACCCTTGGCAGACATGTAATTTGGATTAAGCTTGCAGTTCAAGAAAAATAACCTCCTGTCAGAGAACCAACTACCTGGCCATCTTAAAAAATCCCTATGTACCCGAGTGCTTAATTTCTTCCCCAAACCAAGGTATAAAGATTTAATTGGATAAAATACCCATTACCTAACAACTAAAATGCCCCATCTTCATCCATCATGTAGCATATTTGAATATATTTTTGCAGTGGTATCTAACACTTGTCTTTAGTTGGGCAGTTTCTCATAGTTAAATAGACTATTTGCAGCAGGCAAATGCTATCCATGCCCAAACACAATGCAGCCAACAGGTAATAACCAAGGTCTGTACACCATGTAAAATTCTCTGTAGGACCCAAAAATCACTGAAAGTGATGCCACTCTCACTTTTTCTGAAAGCAGCCTCCTTCTCCTGCATATCGTCCCAGCAGTATTGTGAGGCATATTTTCAGTATCAATTTACAAGCTTGTTTATTAACTTATCAAAACGACCATTGGTACGGTGTCTGGATTGTTACTTAGAGGTCTCCTTCCCTATAAAAGCTTGCTCAGTTCACGACATACGTTGCACTCCTAACTCAGACGGCTAGATATTTTCAGGTGACATAACATAAATGTCCTAAACATCACCATAAAAACATTGATTAAAATGCATTGTGAAACACAAGAATGCTTTCCAGAGTCCACACATGGCACTAGGTCTTAGTTTGTAACACAAAGGCTTGAAAATTTTCTTCTTTTAGTACAATGATTTCAAGTTCAGAGGGAAGCAAGTACGAAATGCAGTCCTATCCTAACAGTTCAGCCCTCCATGCTCACTTGCCTAAATAAGAAAAAACAGGAGAGGCAAACTCATTCCTTTACTACAAATACACAGGGGTTACTCTGTCTTGACTACCTGCAAGCAGAAGAAAAACTGGCTCTAACAAAACATTTTAAGAGGTCAGCCTCTCCAAGAGTGAAGCATTAGAATAATGTACTGTCACAGACTACCAAAATACAGGACTAGAACAAATACAGCCTGCTTGAATGCCTGATATGTGTATCCAATGGTTTAAAACAAATCCCTTTCATAGCAGCACACGTTTGTACAGAACTACGCACTTACACGCCCCAGTGTACTTTGATAGAACAAGTCTTCTGCGTTGTGCCAAACACCCCTGTTTCTTCAGTGTCGTCAAAAAAGGAAGTCACGATTCCTAACCCTTCAGGTTCTGTATACAAATCAATTCGGCAAACCCTGTAATCCTGAAAAATTAAGATTGCCATAATCACTTAATCTGTGCTGTGAGTTCTGTAATTAATGCGGATAACTAAATCAGTTTTGAAATACCCATTTTAAATTGTTTCCCCCCCTTGTCAATTACTACTGCTATAAGACGCCTACAATAGAAGTGTAACTAGGCCAGTTGCCTGTCTGGACCAAGACAGTCAGTCAATCTCTAACCAGCATTTACATTGTTTACTTTCTGCCACCTAGGCAGGAAT